GCTTAGTACACAGGGATGAGCATAAAGGCGGCACGAAGCTAAGCTAAGAAATCAGCCAGAGAGGAAAAACGTAGGCAAACCAATAGAGACTTAGGAAGGCATATATAAAGTAGAATAGTTAAGTGACTGAGGCCACGAGGGAAGGACTGGAGGGTCGCGCGATAACCACAGCGCACGCGCACTAGGACAGCGCTAGTGAGCTAGAAAGAGCAGGAGAGCAAGCGGATACTAGTAAGCAACTGGAACGCGAACACTGTGGCACATGAGACAGACAGAGATGCATGGTGCGCACTGAGGTAGGAACGGAGGGGACTCAGGACGACCAGAGCGCAGGGAACAGAGTGAAAAATAACTGCGAGGCACAGCAAGCGAGGATCACACAGAGTAAGAAGGGAAAGCAGCGGCCAGGAGATCGGCTGGGGAGACGAATGAGGAGACAGAAGCGACAACAGGGGATCCATAAAGAGAGAGCGTAGAGCGGAAGACCCAAGGAGGACAACATGCGTCGGAGCAAAGAGCGAGGGGCCCCCGGAGAACACGACCACAGCGAGAGCGGCGACACGAGACACCATCAAGAGCAGGGCAAGCAATGACGAGCGGGAGAAGAGTCCCACCCGTGGAGAGAGAAGCCGGAAAAGTCACACAAAGGGAGGCCCACGGGCAGACCAGGGGAACGGAAAATCGAGCTCGCCTGATTCCAAGAACAGGACGAGGGAAGAACAAAGCCCTGCCAACAGAACCAGGACTCAACAGGGGCAAAAGGGGGTCGGGGCGAAGTGATGGCACCTCCGCTCGTGTGAAGTTGCGGTTGCAAGAGAAGCCAAGGGAAGAGTCGACAGACAGACAACATAACCCTGCAGGTTAGCGCAAGGGCCAGGCTGCCAGCGGGGTAACAGTCGGCTGGGCGAGCGGGATCATTATGACTGTCTACGATCCCGAGCACCTACGAGCGAGATAGTGACAGGTACGAGCAACATCGGGGCAAGACATGCTGCAGCTAGCGTTAGACAAGGAGTAGGCACACTGTGGACCCGCTGGGAGAAAAGCAGCAACTGCAGCTTGCCAGGGGCGGAGAGCGGAAGCCAGCAGGGAGGAGACGGGCAGGAGCAGAGCGGACCGGACCGGGATAGCGCCGGGACGAGACTGAGCAGAGAAGGTCGGGAGGGAAGACCAGCCCAAGGCCGATAGGGCGCCAACAGAAGGTGGTCTCTGCGAAGGGCACACGCCGCCCCCAGGCAGATCAGATGTACGTGTGTAGCAGCGTGCAGACGTAGAGTGTGGACCACAATAGATGGGGACAGCTGCGGCGCCGGCGGTCATTGAAGAGGCAGCGGGCCGAGGGAACGTGGGCGGCAGCGCAGCGCAGAATACAGCGTTGCGCATGGCGGAACGGCGCACGCCAGACGCGCAGCCGGCGGACAGTGAGAGAGACACAGCACTGCCGGGCAAGGCAAACGAAACACCAGGGACAGGGCTATCCACACCCAGAACAGGACCAGGCCAAGAGCATGTCAGCAGAATGAAAAGCGGGATGGGGGCCACACAGGACCGGGATCAAGCCACGGTCGTGGGAGCCCAGAGAGCCACCAGACGAGATGCAGGCCCGAGCCAGAGCCCGGCTGCCACAGAAGAGCAACCCCCCACAGGCGGGCAAGCAGCATCACAAAACGGCAGTCGAGAGGAGAGAGCGAACAGAGGCAGACGACAACCTACCTCAACATCACAAGGGACCCAACGGAGGCAGCAGACCGCCACCTGTACGAACAGAACGCAACAGTCCCTTAAGCCCAGTGAAACGGAGGAGGCTCCAGCAGAACATCCAGCCCAGAGCCGGCATGGAGGAACATCCGGCGACGAGCCGTGCAGCCAACCAATCTACAACCAGACAACTGAAACACCACAAAAAAAGCACACCCGTGTGTTTATTTAACTCATTGCATGCGATGCATCTTCCAAAGTAAACATTAAACCATAAGAGCAGTTTTTTTGGCTTCCAAAAAGATTTAAAGATGAGGATGCAACAGACCGAAGCGCAGCAGCTGCCATCAGGGTGTGGCACTGACTCTAGGCTGTGTTTGGTGGCGCAGCACACGCGCAGCAGAACAATGCAATGTTTTAATGTTTTAGTCGATGAGTGCGTTGACGCACCGCTGCAATAAGTGAAAGCGAGGTTTGTGTACAGATTCGTGAACGTGCTGCAGTGACGCACTTTACCCGATCACCGTGAAGGTTTCCTGTATTTATCCTTCATATGCATTAAGTACAAACACGTGCTTGCTGTGCACGCATGTTTACACTGTATAGGACATTTATAAGAGTGAGGAAAACCCAAACACACAGCTAAAGTGGAATGAGCAACCGTTAGATGCCTGAGGCTGTGCTGTTGAAGCCTTGCAGCGAATTCATATTCAGAGCAAACAGAAAAATATAACTAATCTGCACAGCCGCAGAAACACGACGCAATCTTCTTCTTTCCTAATTCACAAAGTTGCACTGTGGGTGTGACTGACAACAGAGAGAAAACAAACCTCTGTGGAGGGATGATGAAAGACTCAGCTGTGACATTTTTGCTGTCTCTCAGGCCACTTAATGAGAAAAGGCAGGCAGACAGTCAGACTGTATTCAAATGTCACTCTCTGCCAACCGGAGGAGATTTGAATACCATAACAGGATATGCAGATCACCTGCTGCAAGCACAAAGAAGCACCAGACCTCTGACTCTAATACGGTAACGACCCGACCTGCAGTCTGCCTTTAATGACTGGATTTTCATCTGCTGTGTAAACAGCACACAGGTGTCAGGTGTTTCTTCACTGTTGTCTCTCTCTCCTTTTTAGTTCAATCTTAAATAACACACTTAATCACAAATATTCTTATAAATTTTATTTTTTTGGGTAGCATTTCTTAATTAGCCAGCCAGAATGCCGAGGGGCCAACTTGCCGACAGAGATGAGGCATAAGTAAGCATATTTCACACAGCAAAATCTCCAGTGTTAAATTAACACTGGAGGGTGTCTATATGGGTCCACACCTCTGAGTGTTAAATACAACACTGTTGAGTGTTAAATTAACACTTTTGACAGTGTTATATGTTTAAAAGTAACCTAGTCAGTTTTGAAGATTAACAATGGCTAACACTGAGCAGTGCTGATTTTCTAACACTGGAAAAAAAGTGTTAATAACACTCAACAGTGTTGTATTTAACACTCAGAGGTGTGGACCCATATAGACACTCTCCAGTGTTAATTTAACACTGGAGATTTTGCTGTGTCTTCCTTCTCTCACCCCAAACGATCACAGCAGATGGCCCCGCCCCTCCCTGAGCCTGGTTCTGTTGGAGGTTTTTTCCTGTTAAAAGGGAGTTTTTCCTTCCCACTGTCGCCAAAGTGCTTGTTCATAGGAGGTCACATAGGTCATTAGCACTCATCAAGCAACGTCTATGGGCAACTGACTGCATTCAGACCAAAGAGGGCGGAATAATTACGCACACGATGATTGATTATGATTTTCGTTCCACTTCTCACGTGTACACCACTTTGTATTGGTCTTTCACGTGGAATTCCAATAAAAATTGATTCATGTTTGTGCCTGTAATGTGACAAAATGTGGGAGAGTTCAAGGGGGCCGAATACTTTTGCAAGCCACTGTACATTGATATGAATAGTGTCACTCTAAACATGACGTAAACAGGATAGTTGCAACTGCGTTGATGTAACACTCCTATTTCATTAAGTGAGTTTGCGTGAATGGGTTTGGTTTGTCACGCATGAAAAATTTGAAATGCATAGTTCACAAGTGTGCCTGAAGCAACTCGCTCTTGATGTTTGAGAGTTGAAGTTTTTGTGTCACAGATTATTCATATTTATCAATAATGTTATGATGTATGGGAAATACAGTGAGGACCCCAGAATGCAGGACTTGGCAAAATGGAGATGAACTCAAAATCACATCTTTAATGCAGGTAAAAATGGGGACAAAAAAAAACCAAAGGGCAAAATACAAAACCAAACAGTAACAGGACAACTGGCTGCCCAACATCATGAGGCACCGGGGACTAAAAGCAAAGATAAACTCACAATCATAGAAGGCTCTAAACGATAGCAATGATGAAATTAGTGAGGAGGTTAAAGGATCACATACTTGGTGAACAAGGTGGGACGAGTAGCCACAGAAAAAAGAAAATCATTGTGTGTGTCATTTGTCACAGAACTCCCTTCTCAAAGATACTTAGCCTATTGTTAAAGAGTTTTAAATCAGATACCGCAAGACCAACGAGGCAATATGGTAGTGGTGCTTATTGCAAAGAAACTAAAAAAGAGCAGATGATCAAAAGCACTTTCTCCTGAAAATACAGTTAAAGAACAACTTCTCATATGTCAGATGACACAGATTGGAATATGGCAGGGGCTTAAAATTTTGTCTCGAGCTTTTGTGTTCCATGGGCACAAAAATACTAGTTTGAACAAAGTGACATAGATGTAGCACACGTCTCCATACTTCATGCAAGTGTATTAATATATAAATATAAAAGTAACACAACAAACAATGACAGAAGACAACCTTTTCCTCATTACCACATGCTTTTAGTAGTGTGTTCAGCTCATGATAATTGATGCTCTCTTAACTTGCTTAGGCTTTTAAAGATGGCCATCTGTATGTGACGCCATACGGTAAATCGTCACATAAATAGTGTTGCTTAATGACAATGATGCTACAGTGAATAAGATGGGATTCTAATGGAGAAGTGAATGAGTATAACTGCCGTTTAAAGCGCAGGTATTTGCTTTGTAATTGTGATTCATTATAACATAACAGCTTTTTTAAAATTCTAATGACACGTGAAACTCCCCAGCTTCTCTGTCATTTTCCTGCATGCTAGCAGGGGTAAAATGGAATGTGATGAATAGGTTTTCACTGCTCAAAAACTGTATTGTGATAAATTACCTGAGACTAACTTTGTTGTTTTCTCCTTCTCTCTGTCTCTGCTGAATTCCCTGCAGATGAATTCAAAGCCTTCCTGAAGCGATTGCCCACTGATCGCTTCCTGAATGTGTCCATGATAGCCAAGCTCTGGTCAGCCGACTTAACCCTCCAAAAACGTTATGCCCAGCTGGAGGCCAGCACCGTCCTTGTCCTCAACAAAGCCCAGAAGATCATCAGGAAACTGTTCACGCTGAGTAAACGCTGCCCCAAACAGCCCCGCATCAGTCTCCCCCAACAAAGGTAGCTCACCGGGACACACTGACAGAGAACAAACCATTACCGGTATTTTATCTGGCTGCTGTGTTTGCAGCTATGGACTCTTTAACAGCCCACCTCAAAGGGGTGCACACATACCCCTTTATAAAACATTTGTTGATTGCACTGGAATTACATGGGTTTCGGCCTTGGGTTGTCTCTGTTGTAGGTTATGCATTCCAATTTCTCTCACGTTTAAACCTCTTGGGCTATTTGACTGGCCACTTTATAACATTTACCTTGCTAGTACCAGGTTGGAACCCTGTTTGCCTTCCAATTGTCTTAATTCTCAATGGCATAGATTTAGCAAAAACATTCCTCAGTGAGTTTAGTCCATTTTGAGATAACAGCATCACACAGTTGCTACAGATTTGTCAGCTACACATACATAATGCAAATTGCCAATGGAGAAAAGGTGCTCTGTTGAATTGAGATGCTCTGACCGTTGGCCATTTGAGCACAGTGAACTCACTGTCACGTTCAACGAACCAGTTTCAGGTGATTTGAGCGTTGTGACATGGCGTGTGATTCTGTTGGTAGCAGCCATCATAAAATGGGCATACTGTGGTCATAAAGGGATGGACACAGTCAGCAACAATACTGAGGTATGATGCTGCATTTTAATGATGCTCAGCTGGTACTAAAGGGCCCAGAATCTGCAAAGAAAATACTCCACACCAATACACCGCTACCAAGATACAAGACAGGATGGATGTGACACGTCTCATTTTGTGTTTATATATGTGTGTGCGTTCCTGTCTAGCTATCTTTGTGAGGACCGAAATCTGCCTTCTACTATACTTGTGAGAACCAACAGTCACTTGTGAGGACACACACACCGGTCCTCACAAATTTCAAGGCCTTTTTGAGGCTCAAAATGTGGTTTTAGTGTCAGGGTTACAATTAGGTTATGGTTAGGTTTGGGGTAAGGCTTAGGGTCAGGCATTCATTTTTAATGGTTAGAGTTAGGGTAAGGGGCTAGGGAAACCATTATGTCAATGAAGGCCCTCACTAAGATAGCTGGATGGGCTTGTGTGTGTGTGTGTGTCTGTGTGTGTGTCAAGATTAGAGAAATTACATGGCCAAGATTTTATTATATTCTCTCCCTCCCTCGCTCACAGACACATAACGGGTATGGCAGTCCATTCTCCCTGCAGCACGGACTACACTGCCCATGAGGCTACATTCTTTAGTGTTACAGGCGATGCCTGTAACACTCTGCCTGTTACCTTCATATTAAATCATTTTTGTGAATAATTTTTAAAAATATTTCTTCACGTCATTATGCGGACCGCAAGGAGGGGTGACATGGGCCGCAAGATTGAGACACAGACGTTACAGCCTCTTAATGTGTGTTTTGTCAAAAGTAGAGAGGGCATAGCCGAACCTACGAAACAGGAAAATACCTCAGTGTAATCCCTTTATTTCAGCAAAGTAACTGTATTCTGAATAC